CGTACGTTCATTCCGTGATCCAAACATCGACTCAGATCACTACCTTGTCGCAGCCAAGGTACGCATGCGGCTTAGTACCGCCAACAATGTACGCTCTAATGTTCAGAAAAAACTAGACGTTAATAAGCTGCGATCACGAGAGACAGCCGAAGTTTTCGCCGCTCAGCTCTCTAGCCGATTAAACAACCAACCCTCCCGTCCCGATAATGCCGGTAGACAGTGGGGACATATCTCTCACTCCCTACGCACAACACCGGAAGATGTCCTTGGTTTACAACGTCTCCCACGGCGAAACCAATGGTACGACGAAGAGTGTCGCCAAGCTACTGCTGCGAAGAACGCGGCCTATAAAAGGACCCTGCAGTCAGCAGCAACGCGAACCGTGCATGAACAATATCGGGAGATGAGGAAGGTAGAGAGGTGCCTATTCAGACGGAAGAAACGAGATCAAGAAAGGCGCGAGCGAGAGGAAATCGAGGTGTGTAGAAATAGGAATGATGCCCGTAAATTTTATCAAAAAGTCAACCGTCTGACTCAAGGCTTTAAGCCTGGTGCATCAACCTGTAAGGACGAAAATGGTAATCTGGTTACAGATACGCAGAATGTACTGAAAGTATGGAAGGAGCATTTCTCCAAACTACTATCTGGCGATGATAACATCAACTCTGCCATTGAAGAAATGCCCTCTGTATCCCCAATCGAAAATGATGACGTTGAAATTCCACCACCTAGCCATAACGAAGTGCGTGTTGCTATACAGCGACTTAAGAACAACAAAGCGGCAGGCGCAGATGGCCTGCCTGCTGAATTGTTCAAGGCCGGCGGCGATATGCTGATAGGGTGCATGCATCAGCTTATCTGCAGAATATGGTTAGATGAAAGTATGCCCTGCGATTGGAATCTCAGTAGCCTTTGTCCTGTCTTGAAAAAAGGTGACCCGACGATTTGCGCCAACTATCGCGGGATTAGCCTGATACCTGTCGCGTACAAGGTTCTTTCAACTGTACTGTGTGAAAGGTTGAAGCCACATGCCAACTCACTGATTGGACCTTATCAGTGCGGCTTTCGACCTGGTCGCTCCACCATTGATCAGATATTCACACTGCGACAAATCCTGGAAAAAGCCCACGAACATAACATCGACACTCATCACCTTTTTGTCGATTATAAAGCAGCTTTCGATAGCCCATTAGGGATCGCGTTTACGCCGCAATGTCTGAGCTCGGTATCCCTGCAAAATTAATTCGGCTTTGCAGAATGACGCTGAGTAATACCCGTAGCTCCGTCAAGGTAGGATCGAGTCTCTCTGAACCTTTTGATACCGTGCGAGGCTTCAGACAAGGTGATCCCTTATCATGTGACCTCTTCAATTTCGTCATGGAAGTGATCATGCGCAGGGCAGGTGTTCATCGTAATGGGACAATATTCTACAAATGTGTCCAGCTCCTTGCTTACGCCGACGACATTGACTTCATTGGGCGTAGCAAGCGTGATGTTACAGCTGCTTTTGCTGCTATCGAAAAGGAATCTGTAGGAATGGGTTTAGCGGTGAATGAGGGAAAAACGAAGTATATGTCGGCTACTGGTAGAAATGTGCGTCGCTCGGACACCGGGCTAGTGGCTGGCGACTATAATTTCGAATCTGTCAAGGATTTCATCTACCTTGGCGCCGCCGTAACGAATACAAATGATGTCAGTCTGGAGATCAGACGAAGAATCACCATTGCTAATAGGTGCTACTATGGGCTCAGTAGGCAATTGGGATGTAGAGCCCTCTCTCGACAAACGAAACTTACGCTCTATAGGTCGCTCATCCTCCCTGTGCTTCTGTATGGCGCAAAAGCATGGACGTTATCACAGAATGATGAAGCAGCACTGGGAGTGTTCGAGAGAAAAGTTCTTCGTAAGATCTTTGGTCCTCTACGAGTTGGCGACGACTACCGCATTAGAATGAACCACGAGCTGTACGAGCTTTATCACGACATTGATGTAATTCAGCGCATTAACATCCAGCGGCTTCGCTGGCTTGGTCATGTCGTGAGAATGGATGAAGACGCTCCGGCGAAAAAGGTGTTTGAAGCAGTAGTCGGCGGAAGAAGACGTAGAGGTAGACCGTGTCTCCGATGGAGTGATCAAGTTGAGGGAGCACTAACTGGACTTGATATACGAGACTGGAGAAGGCGCGCACGCAGCAGAGGCGCCTGGGGAGACATGCTGCGTCAGGCCGAAACTCGGTAACGGGTTGTTATGGCCACATAAGTAAGTAAGTATATATTACAT